TTTGTTTTCTCTCCTAACTTTATGAAGTTTATTTATTTTTTCCCTTTTTGATTCCTACAAAAGTACTCTGTCCCATTATTTCCCGCCTAAGCCTGGCCTCTGTTCTACTGCTGAGAATTGGGGCGGGGTGGGGGTGGGGAGGTGGGGGGTGGGGAGAAAGCCCTGAACTGAAGCAGGCTGGGAAAACCCTTGGGAGCAGAACCGGGGGAAAGTCCTCCAGAGCCCAGCAGAATGGCCCTGTCTTCAGGCTTGAAGAGAAGAATTCCCCTTCTGTCGGCCCTGCCACCCCAGCCACTGGAAAATGATGTCACCCCTCTTCTCCATCCCCACCCAGGGGTGGCCCTTCCTTGTCTCCATCCTCAGGGCGAAGCAGAAGAGCCTAGCAGAGGTGCCCCCCACCCTCCTGCAAGTGGCCAACCTTCAGGCCACCTAACAGTGGTCAGCTTCTCAGGCCCCTGTGGTTGTTACGGCTCACCCAGTGCTGTGGGCAGCCATTCACGGCACCCAGGGGCTTGGCCCCAAAGCCAAATGGGAGGAGACACTGGTTTGGGAGCGGCAGGGTGGGGCTGATGCTGGGAAGAGGTGGTTTTCCTATCAGAGGGCTCTAGCAGGTGCCCTTAGCTGGGAGCACCAGTGCCTTTGGGAAATGGACAGGACTCCCTCGGCCCCACCCCAGCCCCTCTGGGATCCCAGCAGGCCTTGGCCGCAGGGTGAGGCTAAGGGCCTGCTCATTGATACACCAAGGGCAGTGCCCTGTCTTCAGTTCTCCAGCTGGGCACTCAGCTGCCCATCTGCCCTCAGCCCAGGGCAGCACCCAAGCCTAGAGGAACTCACTGACCCAGGCATGGGGCAGAAGCCAGAGCCAGCACCAATGAGAGCCCACTTGGCATCACCCCCTTGTTGTGCCAATGACTGCGCAGGGGAAGGAGGGGCTGTTTGCCTGCCACTGAGCCAGGCCTGGGAGAGTCTCTGGGCCCTTGTGTGGAGCAGGGAAGCCCAGGGATGGGGAAAGACACGCAATCCAGCCCCCCAGAGAGGCCTCTGCACACCATGCTGGAGGCTCCCAGGCCCAGTACCGCCCTCCCTGCCTCTATGCTCTTAGAAAAGGGCAAGGCGCCCTGGGGAAATGCCAGGCTGTGGGCCTCGGGGATGAATCAATTTCTGGCGTCAGGGGATGTGCAGAGGAAGAGTTGCCCTCCCTCGGGCACTGGGCAGGTGAAGGGCACCTGGGTTCCATTCCTGATGTGTATCTGCAGGGCTGGGCAAGGTGCCCTGTCCACTTGCCATGCCTCAGTTTCACCCTTTGAAGGGTCCCTACCCACTGCCCAATCCCAATGCTGATGCAGTTGCCAGAGTCTCCTGTTGACTCACCAGCCCCCTGCACCCCCACAACCCCCAAGCTCTCTAAATCTCCCAGCCACGTGCCACCAGGCCCAACCCCGCTGAGCTGGTGCAGCGTGACAGGGTGAGGGGGTTGGTGACACTTGAGGAAAGAAGCGGGCCTGGGGGGTGGGGCAGCGGCAGACAGTGACAGACTGCAGACCTGAGCCGCCTCTGCTGGGAAGTCCTTTTGCCAGCCTGGGGCCTGCACGGGGAGAGGGTGAACGGGGAGGGGAGGGGAGTGTGGCATGCCTGCCTGCCTGCCCCCTGCCTGCCTCGGCTCTAGCTCCTGTCAGCCTTCAGCTCCCTAAGCGACAGCTTCTAATTCGGGCTCTTGGTGCCTCTGTGCTCTGCAGCGAAGTCGCAGCCCCCTTTTAAGCTTTTCTCTTTCTTTCCTGTTCAGAACATATTGAGCCCGTAGGGAAGTCAGAGTAAAGGCTCCAGGCCAGAGACCTGGCACTGCACCCCCCCCTTGCCCGCCACACACACACACACACACACACACACACACATACACACACGTCAGGCCTGCTTGGCAAGGGCATCTGGGAGAAATGGAGCCCAAGGGCGGCCAGCACGGGCTCTCTGACAGGCCAGGATGAGGCCTGAAGGGGACCTTTCTCAGCTTGCCTTCTTCCATGGAACTGTCCCCATCCTCCACACTCCACAGGGACATGCATGACACAGAGTTGTCTCAGGGGAGAGGGGCCATGTCTCTTTAGGACCCAGTCCGTGTTCCTGCTGCTTCTCTCCTCCATCTGGGGGGCAACACTGCCTGGGTGTAGGATGGCCTGCCACACACACATTCCAGAGGCGCCCTCTCCCTCTGTTTTCCCTGAAAACAGAGAAAGAAGGGAAGCAAGCAATTTCCCTCAGGGGCGAGAAAGGGGAAACTGAGTCACAAAGGGAAGAAACGTGTTTCTCCTGCCGTCTGAGTGAAGAGGGAGAGCATTCCCCATCCTTATGGGGGCGGGAGAGACTGCACCCGCCCATGAGTGACAGCCAGGAGGGGCCGGTCTGAGGGAGGCGCTGAGTTTTTGCATGCTGAGTAACTGTGCCGCTCTCTTCCCGACACTTGAGCAAGATCTTGAAGCAGGCAGGGTGGTGTCATCAACTTCATTTTGAAGGTGGGGATATGCAGGCCTGGAGCCACATCGCTAGTAAACGCCTTCAAGCTGGGACTTAATTCTGATGTTGAACGCTGTGCCCTTTCTGGGACACCATGAGAGAAAGCTGGCAGGGCCCTGAGCAGAGGGATGGAAAATGCAAAACGGGAAAGAGGGGCTTCACAGTGTGTGGGGGCATACATTACATTTCCCTCAGACAGAGTGATCGGCCAACGCCTGCTCCGTGGCTGGGTCCCTTGTCAAGTGGGCATCCCGGGGGCTTGGGAGCTGGAGAGAAGCAAGAAGTTCAGGGTGCGGGGCCATGTGCCCACTTTGCCACCCAACCGCCGTCTTCTTCCTAGAGGCAAATCCTTTCCTCAGGCAAATCCTTTTCCGGCTGCAAAGCTTTTTGTCACTGCTCTGCCCATGCTAAGGACACTCTTATTCTTCCCTTCACTTCCTGTCTCTCATAGGGAGGGACCCTTCAAAACTGCCTCCACCACGGTCCCTCCTCCCTCCACGCCCTTGCTTCAGTAACCCCGTCTGGAATGTCTTCTTCCTTGTTTCTCCGCAGCCAGATCCCACCCCACCCTTCCTTGAAGACCGCCTTGGAGGCGCTATCCTTAGGAGATCCAGAGCAACTCCACCTTTTCCTCCAAGGCCCGCCTCCTTTGTCTTTGACAGATGTATTCCGCCCCCAGGCGATAACCTCCACTTTTTATGTCTTGGTCCTGTCTTCCCGCTTGAGAGGGGAGGTCTTTTCTATCCAGATCTGCACTTCTGGTTCTGTATTTCCCACAGCTGGAAACAGTTGGAAGCCTGGCTCACTAAAAAGCTCAGTAAATTCTATAGTTGGGACCTGATTCACTTCTTACTTTACAAAAATCCATTCCAATCCTACCCACCCGCCCACATCCCTTCAGCTCTGAGGCGCCCTGACTCCGCTCACCGGAGGCCTGCCCGCCCTGCTCTCCAAGGCCCCCTGCCCCCAGAGCACCCACCAGAGGGAGACTGGATGCCATTGCCATAGAGACCCCCCTATTGACTTGAGCTTTCTCCTCTCCATTCATAGGGGTTAGGTAGCGGACAAGGTCAGAGCCTTGTGGTCTAGAGGTGGTTTTATGCTAAGAGGGAGCTGGGGACTGGGGGAGCCTTGCGCATGTCCCTTGCTCTTTGCTCTTTCGGGATGGCGCCTGTCCTGAAGCGGCGGGGAGGCGGCACCACCCGGGAGGTGCTCCCGGGGCTGCAGCGCTCCGGGCTCCTTAGCGCCCGTCCCGCCCGCTTCCCAGCCGCCGGGAGTGGCGGGCGGGCGCGCTGTAGGAGTTGGCGACGTCTGAGATAGGCGGGCACACTCTCCTCCCACCCCCGCTCCGAGCGAGCCTGTGCGGGAGGAACAATTGTGAGTGCGTGGTTGGCGACACTTGGAGTGGCAGTTCCCAGCCAGACTGAGGCCCCCCGCCCCGCGCACCGCGCACCACCTCCCTCCCCCGTCACTCCCAGCCCGCCTCCTGCAGCCACCCCGGCTCGCTCATGGTCCGGTCCTGCTCTCATGGGGCACCATTCCCTCCCCCGCAGACCGCTGCGGGCAGCCGGCGGTCCTCCCCGACGGCCCCGAGGTCCCACCCGTGTCTAGGGCGCCCAGGCCGCGGCTCCCGGGGCAGAGGGCGGGAGGAGTGACTGACTCTCGGATTGGTGCCTGTGGCCCACGGCGCGCGGCCCCCGCAGCCGCCGCTGCAGCCCCAGGGGAGCGCGGGGGAGGAACCGCACCCCCACCTCGAGGCTCGCGGAGGTGCGGGGGTCAGGAGTGGCCTGCCCCGACCAGTCCTTTTCTGCCTGGGTGGCTCAGCCCGCGTCCAGAGCAGCCATTTCCATAGAGACCTTCCCCCCCATCCCCACCCCAGGCTACAAAGCCAGGTATCCAGGTGGGCGGCGGCTCCCGCGCTGCCGGGCCCCCCAAGAAAGGAGCCAGCGCCCCGGCGTGGCCCGGCCCCCGCGGGAGGGGCGGAGGCGGAGGAGCGGCGCTGCAGCGGGAGGAGCGGCGCCCGCCGGGGCGGGAGGCAGGCAGCGCGGAGGGCGGGCGCCGCCGTCTCAGCAGGGGCGCGGGGGCTGCCCGAGTGCGGTGAGTGGCGCGGCTCCCGGCCACGGAGGGACCGAGGCTCACGGGGGACAGAGGCCCGCCGGACACGAGGAAAGCCGCGGGAGAGTCCGGAGGGGGCAGAGTCTCGGCTCCCATCACCTCGTGGCGGGCCGGGCGCGGAGCGTGGAGGAGCAGCCACCTACACCTGAGGGCGGGCGGGAAGCCCGGGAAGGAGCGGCGAGCGGCGCCGTTGCGGCCGGGCGGCGGGAGCAGCGGGAGCACAAGAACGGGAAGCCCGGGAGCCTCGGCCGCAGCCGCCCCCGCGGAGAGGGAGCCACGCCAGGGCCCCACGGAGGCCGGAGACCGGCGGGGAGCGGGGACAGGGGCGCCCCCGTGCGGAGCTGCGGGGCCGCCCCGGCGCGGCGGCGGCGGGTGCCATGCTCAAGCCCAAGGACCTGTGCCCCCGAGCGGGCACGCGCACCTTCCTGGAGGCCATGCAGGCGGGCAAAGTGCACCTGGCCCGCTTCGTGCTGGACGCGCTGGACCGCAGCATCATCGACTGCCGCGCGGAGCAGGGCCGCACGCCGCTCATGGTGGCCGTGGGGCTGCCGGACCCCGCGCTGCGCTCGCGCTTCGTGCGGCTGCTGCTGGAGCAGGGCGCGGCCGTGAACCTGCGGGACGAGCGCGGCCGCACGGCGCTCAGCCTGGCGTGCGAGCGCGGCCACCTGGACGCCGTGCAGCTGCTGGTGCAGTTCAGCGGCGACCCGGAGGCGGCCGACTCCGCGGGCAACAGCCCGGTGATGTGGGCGGCGGCCTGCGGCCACGGGGCGGTGCTCGAGTTCCTGGTGCGCTCCTTCCGCCGCCTCGGCCTGCGCCTCGACCGCACCAACCGCGCGGGCCTCACGGCGCTGCAGCTGGCCGCCGCCCGCGGCCACGGGACCTGCGTGCAGGCCCTCACCGGCCCCTGGGGCCGCGCCGCCGCCGCCGCCGCCGCCCGGGGCTCCAGCTCCGACAGCCCGCCTGCTCGCCCGGCCCCCGCGCCGAGCCCGGAGCGGCGACGGCCGAGCCCCCGCCGCCTGCAGCGGCCTCTCCTGGCGCGCTTTGCGCGAGCGGCCGGCGGCCACGGCCACGGCGGCGAGGCTGGCTCCGGGGGCAAGAGCTCGGGCCGGCACCGCGCGCCGGGGAGCGATCGGCCCGAGCTGGGCCGGAGCATGAGCCTGGCTCTGGGAGCTGTGACCGAGGAGGAGGCCGCTCGCCTGCGGGCGGGAGCCCTGATGGCCCGACCACAGTCCTCGGGAGCCGGGCGGTGGTGTTCGCACGACGGGCTGGAGGGAGCGCCGCCTCCGGCCTTGGCGCAAGCTCCCATCGGCCTGAGTCCTCACCCCGAGGGCGGCCCCGGCTCCGGCCGCTTGGGGTTGCGCCGGCGCTCCACGGCCCCCGACATCCCCAGCCTGGTCGGGGAGGCCTCGGGGCCCGAGGGCGGCCCGGAGGCAGAGGCCAATGCTGTGCAGCACTCGCACTCGACGCCCGGGCCCCAGCCCTGGCAGGCGGGCACGGAGGAGGCCATGGTGTTGCATGATCAGCGGTAAAGAGCACAGAGGACGAGCCAACTTCCCTGCACCTGCCTGTCTCTGCTCTACTGGGATTTCTCTTCCAGGCCCTCTCTTCCCCGGCCATTTGCCTCCCACCTGACCCCACTGCCAAGATGGGTGGCCTTCTCTCGGAAAGGAACCCCTGCTATTTCTTTTTAGTGCTTGTTGGTAGTTTTGGTATTCCCTGCCCAAGTCTCACCCTTCCCTACAGCCTGCCTTTCTTGTCCTGGAAAGGGAGGAGTAGGAGACTGGTTCCATGGGTTACAGCCTCCCAGGAAGATGGACCCCGCCCCTCCCTCCACCCTAAGGCTCAGTCCCGAGTCTGTGGCTCCCGCCTGGTCTCCTTCCCATGGTCAGGTTTCCCCACACCCAGGCAGCCAAGCCGAAGACTGTACAAGGGCCTGGCTCCTCCCCTCACTCCCAGGGATGCTGACAGTAATGCCACACACGACCCACGTGTCCCCTCCCCTTGAGTGTTGGAGGAGGGGAGCACTGGGCGGGCCTCAGAGACTTTCTGAAGGAGGGCTGATTAGGAAAGAGTCAGGAGGTTAAGTTTTCCTGGAGAGAAACTCCGACCCCAGGACAATGAAAGCCTATTTTGGAAGTGGCAGAGCCCAAGATGTTGGCTGCTTTTTGTCCCTTGAACCGATTTCTGGGTAATTGCAGTTCCTCCTTCTCTTCCCCAGGCCCACCCAGAATCCAACTTCTGTGACACTGTGTGGCCATTGCCCCAGCCAGCGCCCACCCACCCCACCCCCAGGCTGAGCTATATTTGAGTTCCATCTTTGAGGTCCAGCCCATTTCCTCTCCCTCTCCGAGGCCTGAGATGCAAAGGACTGAAGCTCTTCTCCCGCCCCCACCGCCTCCCGGCTCCCGCATCCCACACGCGGGTGCCCCTGCAGGGTAGAGCGGTTTTGCGAAGGTTTTGCTTAATTGTATTTGTTCCAATCCTCCAAGAGCTGGCCTTCGGAGCCTTTGTATAGGAAGCAGAAAGCAGCAGGTCTGATCCCGGGCTTAAGAACCTGACAATGTCTCTTTAAATAGAAGCTCCGCGAGGGGGATAATTGACTGAAGTGTTTGCCGCGCTAAACGGCGGCGCGCGGGGGTCGGCAGCCCACACGCGCCGCGGGCCCGGGCTGAAATCGCATCAAGCTCCGGCGAGAGCCGGGAGGGGGCTGTGAAAAGGCCGTGCCTCTCGCTGGGCTGTTAATGGAGGGCACGGCGGATGATGGATGCTGGAAGTCGAGACCACGGACCCCTGCTTCTGCTCCAGCGCGTGGGACGCAGGCTCGGCCCCGCTCGCTGCTTTGCTGGGCAGATTAGTGAGTCAGCGGCGACCGCAGGGAGGAGGCCAAAAGCCCTTTCCCTGCGGCCTGGTCCTCGTTCCGTTCCCTCCCTCGCCGCCCTAGGCGGGCCTGGGAACCGCGTGCTCTAGGACCCTGCGGAAGCGCTAGCACTTGTATCTGCGCGCCCGGCCCGTCTGGTAGAGGCGCGTGGGGGCTCTTTCTGTGAACCCCCGAAGATTGAACGTGCACTGCACCCCCACCCCCTTTTTTTTTTTTTTTTTTACCAGCAGAGGGGTGTGTGCAAGACGTCGATCTGCTCGTCTTTGCAGAACGGAAGGCTTCTCACCAGTAACTCTAAGAGAGAAGGACCTGTGCTGAGAAGTTGGGCCTGGGGGTGAGGAGCGGGTCTTGAGGAGGAGGAGGTCTGAGAACTCCCCAATCCTTCCACCTTTCCAGGCCCGTGAGGCCGCCAGCGCCCCTGCGCTGGACTGATCTCTGGTGCCCCCTGGTGGCAGCGCTGCGCTCTCTTCGCTGCGCCCTCGCTCGGAGTTTGGACTTAGTTTTATTCGGGATCACCGCTGTCTACTTCTCCCTCCGTGTGCATTTACCCATGGAATCCTCAGCCTCTTGTATTAAATTCTTATACTTGAAGTCATTTCACAGCAATGAAGTGAGGGACAGTGCATTTGGAGTAGCAGGAACCCAGACCCGTCGTGAAAGTCCCCAAGATCTTCCAAGTTAAAGTTTGGTGTCCTGAGCAGTCCTGCTGTCTTCTGAAAAGCTGGAGCTCCCAAACCCTCCCTTACCACTGCTGAACCTTGGGACCTACTGATTATGCACTGTTGTTTTTTTCCTGACGAGCTTTGCTTTTGTTTGGGGGATATTTTGCCCTTTCCTCGCTTCTTTGCTCTCAAACACCTGCTGGGATCCCCTTAGTTCCATGGTCTGGGTGGTGGGTAAACAATACAGAAGCTCCTGAAAAGCTCGAGGGAGAGGATCTGGAGAGGGATGGGGGGTAATTGGACACCCCACGTGCAAACTCCTTTTTTTTCTGATCCTTGCTTGCTCACTTATTCCAACTGTGTTTAATTTCCATGACATTTCTACTGGCGTAAGAATACAAGCATTTGGCTTCAGAACGCTGTGAGGTCTGCGTTGCACAATGTGTTGAGTGTGCTGTATCTTTCAAGGGTCACTTACGGGGCTTTGGTTGAATGTCACCTTGCGCCCTCCTATCGGGTAAGCAACCCTGAGGGCTGCTCTTATGGAGCTGCCCAGGGCTGGGTGGCAGAACGGGATGTTCCTGAAAAACCACAGCTGATTGTTCCCGTATGAACTGAATGGTGTGTCTGACTGGCTGGCTGTCTTGCAGGTTTCTTACCAGGCCCAGCTCCGTGCAGAACTTAAACTTCCACTCACTGTCAGCCCCAAGGGCGCTGGGGCTGGGGTCCCCTCTAGCTCTCTCCACGTTTGAAGAGACTCTCTTAAACATTTTGCTTTCCCAATTCCCGTTGCTTTTGTCATTGTGAAGCGTTACCCATGCCCCTGGAGTCTGGTCCTCTAAGGTCAAGCTCGGAACTGGTCTGTGTGAGGCTAACTGGTGTATGCACATGCTTTTGGGGTGACACTGTGTGGTGGAAGGAGTATTGGAACTCAGAAGAATAAGTAATAAACTCAGTATTGTTCAGTTTCAAGAACTGTCCTCTCTCTGCCTTACCAACCATTCCTGACTGTGGGCTCCCTCCGGAGAGGGGAAGGAAGGGTGGGTGGCACACTTGCCTCGCCTCTGCTCCTCCCTGTATGGCTGCCTTTAGAAGGTAAGGCTCCGGTGCTGTTTCCGACTGAGCTGGTGGGACCAGGGCCCTCAGACAGGGCAGCTATCTAGCTGGGAGTGCCTCGGGGAGCAGCAGGTGGTCTGCGGGACTCCTTGCTCCTGGTTAGGATTCAGTGAGCCCTGAGTTTGGTGGTAGGATGTGTCCAGCTCTTAACTCCCAGGAAGTTAAGTACTGGGATCAGAGGTAGACGTTTCAAGATAATTTCATCCACTCACCTCAATCCCAGGACTAGAGCTCAGGTTTCTTAATTTCCAGCCACTGCACTACCCACACTCCTGTCTCCTCAAAACGGAGAGAGCTTTCTCACTGGAAGCAGTTCCAGGCCCCTCCTGGGGACAGCTGGAGGACAGCAGCCTTTGGCTTTCCAGGGAGTGAGAGGCAGACAGGAAGGGAGACGCTGCTGCCGAGAGTGGTCACCCGCCCCGGTGGCTGCCCCAGAGCCCCTGTAGGGCCAGAAGCCAGATGCTCGGCCCTGGCCCAGGCTGGGCTCCCCTCCCCTGGGGTGGAGCCTCTTTCCCCGCTCTTTCAGTCCCGAGGGTGTGTCACTTCCTGTTCCCCCATTCTCTGCCCACACAGCGCCAGGGAGCTGGGGTTTCTGTGGACCAGCGTGGCCACGGAAAGCTCCCGCTGGGAGGCGGAGGGCCACACTGGACACCCACTGCCGAGGGTCCGTCCAAAGTAAGGTGACTAGACGTTCCGATTTTTAACACTTTGTCCCGCGTCCCGCAGCATTTTAAAAAAAGTCCCGGATTTTTGGAAAGGAGCTACATTGTCTTTGAACTAAGGCGGGCACAGTCCCGATTTTTAACAAATGGTGGGACAAATTGTTAAGAATCGGGACTGTCCCCGCCTTAATTCAAAGACAACGTAGCTCCACTCCTAGAGACAACGGGAGTCCGAGGTTTCGAACACTCAGTTTAATTTAAAACAGGCACAAGTGCAAACAATTCACAAAAGTTTCTAGGGAAGATGCTTTTGTTTTTAAAACTGACCTTTAAAAAAGTCCATGTAATTTTTTTTTTTTTGCCCCAAATCAGGCCACTAGGGAGCAGAGGAATCTAAAAATAGGATCTAGACTGGGTCCAGACACCTGGAGTTCTTCCCTGGGCTTCCCTGTCTCTCCATTGCCCTGAAGGTGGGGAAGGAAGGAGGACAGGAGACAGGTGCCCGAGGAGGCGAGGGGGGGCAGATGGTTGGCACCAAAGGGATGCCCAGTCTCTTACATGATGGAACTCCGGGAGCTGGTTCACCTCCCCCAGACCAGGATTTTGAAAAGAAGGGTCCCTGATGTCCTGGTTATTGAGATGAAGCTAACAGGTGAAATAATGTTTCTTTCCTCATCTTTGCATACGTGGGCTCCGACCCCATCGAACAGGAGAAACTCAGAAAGCTGCCTAGCCTCCAGATGTGTCGGCCTCAATGCAAACCTCTTCACTGGTCAGGTGGAAACATGGGAACTTAAGGGGAGGGAAGCCAGGTCCCTGGTCTCTTCAGAGCAGAACTTAGTGGGAAAGAGGATGAGGAAACCTTACTGAAGGGGCCAGGCTATCGGGGTGACCTTCTTACACACACACACACACACACACACACACACACACACACACACATACACACACACACCCACGCACGAGCACTTGCGTCCTGTAAAGTGACACCACCTTGACCACCAACCCCATTGTTTCTCTTTCCCCCAGAAATGTCCCTTCTGCTCCCAGGGCCTGCAGGCAGGCTGTTCACAGTCGGAGCAGGCTGTGCACGGGAGTCGTATGTTGTCAGTGCAGGCGGGGCGGGAAGCAGGTGCAGGTGGGACTGTGCCTTCAGGAAGTCAGACACAGGGGAAGATGATAGATTAGGGTAATAAAAACCTTCCCCGTGGCCCTCTGGAAACATCAGGGTCGGGAATGAGCGCTGAGAACAGCAGGTGTCCTGGTACAGACAGGCACTCTCCCTCTCGGGCGGCCTGGGGCGCTGCCTTAAAAAAACACGCGGCAGCCTCTCCTGCCGTGCTGGCTGTCACTGCCAGAAGTGGTCTCCGTGTTTCTTAGAAATATCCCTGTGCAAATAACAAAGGGTCATCCTGGAAAAGAGGTCTCCGTCATCCCAAAGGCAACTGGGGACTCTCTTGGGAGGGGGAGAGACGAAGGGGCAGGTCCGGCCTGGCCCTGCGGGCAGAGGGGAGGGAGGGGGGAGTTTCACATTCAATCTTTGGAGAGAATACTGAGAGAATGAGGCCCCGGCGGCGAGGCGAGGCGGCTGCCCGTGTCCCTGCCTGTGGGCGCGGGTGGCTCAGCAGGTGGAGGTCGGCTTGCGGTAGAGCTGGATCAGGGGCGCCAGGCACTCGGGGAGCCCAGTCTGCAGCAGGAAGGGGTGGTCCAGGAGCTCCTGGGCTGTGGCTCTCTCCTGGGGGTCCCGCACCAGCATCCGTTCCAGGAAGTCTCGCAGCACTGGGGAAACCTGGGGGGACAAGGCAGTGATGAGGCTACAGTGTGCAGTCATTTCAGAGTGACCCATATGCCTGATCCCACCGTCATTTGAAAGTCTTGAGTCTTTCTTTTTCTTACTTCCTGCTTCCTCCCAGGCTCTGCGTTTCTGGGATTATCAAGTAGGTAAAGAAAATCAGCATTAGTCCAGGAAAAGTGGCCAGATCACCTCCAGGGGGTGCTGCTGAGTTAATGGGATTAGGGCACCTGGAGTGCTGGGGGAGCTGGGCTCTCAATCCATCCCACTCCCTGTTTCTTTGGGGTCTCCCGGCCTCTGGGTTCCATGGAAAGGGCCATGGGATTGGTATCAGTGATCTAGTTCTGGGTTTATCTCTAATCTCTGGCAAATGGCAATGTTCTCAAGGCCTCCGTTTTCTCATCTGCAAAATGGGCTAATGTCCTCGTTGTGTCTGCAACATAGGACGTCAGTGAGGACAAAAGGGGTCAAGGATGAAGAAGTGTTTTTGGAAAACAGAAAAGAACAAGAAACTTTATTGCTCTAAGTCTTATATAGTTCTTTTGAGCCAATATCTTGGGGAGAGGCTGAGTCTTGGTCTGTTCCAAGCTACCTCCTCTGGGGAATTAGTCGACTAGAACTCTCCCCTATCTGCTGATCTTGTGCTCAGCAGTGGCCTCCAAGGAGCAGCTGCCTCTGAGGTGTTCCCATCTGGCCTCCCATCTAGTTGTGTTGGGGCCACAGACCTTGCCATTTGGGGACAAGGGCTTCAACACTCTGGAACACTTCTCACTCTGGCCACTAGGTGGCAGAGTCATTTTGCAGCTTTGTGCAGACCTGGCCAGGGGTGGGGTGAAGTGGGGGGGGGGGGGGGAGGACCGGCATGTAAGGCCTGCTGGTTTGGCTAGATTTGGTTGAGAAGGGTTACACACACACACACACACACACACACACACACACACACAGGTTTTAAGGGAAAAACTAGCTCAGATGTGGTCAGAATGTGCAGTGATGGAAGACAAGCCGACTCACTGAGATAGACGGGGCGGGTGGGGGTGAGGGGGGGGGGCGGAGAGACACTGCTTCCATGGTATGGCTCCCCTGACAGAAGGGGTTGAGGTGTTCCTGCTCGGCTTCTCTAGATTCTTCTCCGAAGCATCAGAGATTCCTGGACGCTTTGCTTTCCCTTCTCTCGGGCTCCTGTCAATCCCCTGCAGGTAGAAACTGGTCGGAGTGACCGTGGGAGTGTGTTTACAGATGTGGCTCCACACCGAGGTGCAGGTTTCATATGGAGGAAGAGGTAGCACTGCCAGGACCCCAGACCCTCTGGCTTCTGTGAAAGGGGAGGCTGGGCTGGAGCCCCGGCTCTGGTCCTCTGAGCCTCAGGAAGATTCGGTCTGTGGGGCCACGTTATGCACCGACTGACCTTGTGAGAATTTTTCAGCTTGGGTGGGGAGCTGTCCCGGAGCCTCTTCATAGCTTGCACCGGGGAGTCGCTGAAGTAGGGCGGCTCCCCGTCCACCATCTCAATCACCATGATGCCCAGAGACCAGATATCCACCTGCAGGAGGAGAGTGTCTGACTCCACTGGCCGAGTCTGGCCCCTCGGTCGCCGCAGGCTGCCGTCCGGGGAGGCCACGGCGGCTCTCAGTTCTCCTGAGTGCGTGGGCCTCCTTCCTGGCCACTGGCCCCGGGGGCAGTTACTTCCTGCATGAGTGGCCTTGATGAGGGACACAGCTGTCAGCCACACTCTGAGGAAGGACATCACACGGGGGAGTCTGGCCCTTGAGCTGAGGATCAGCATTTTGGGGACCAGTTTGTGGCAGCAAAGTCACAGGCAAGAGCAGATGCCTCCAAGAAGGGACAGTGGGCCTGACCGGTTTGGCTCAGTGGATAGAGCATCGGCCTGTGGACTCAGGGTCCCAGGTTCGATTCCGGTCAAGGGCATGTACCTTGGTTGCGGGCACATCCCCTGTGGAGGGGCCTGTGAAGGAGGCAGTTGATCGGTGTTTCTCTCTCATCGATGTTTCTAACTCTCTATCCCTCTCCCTTCCTCTCTGTAAAAAATCTATAAAATATATTGAAAAGAAAAACAACTGTTTCCTGTGAAGAAGAAGAAGAAGAAGAAGAAGAAGAAGAAGAAGAAGAAGAAGAAGTAGTAGTAGTAGTGGAGGAGGAGGAGGAGGAGGAGGAGGAGGCGACAGTGGGCAGTGGGGCAGAGGGGTGACTACGTGGGAACCTGAGAAACGGCTATTTTTGATGGGCGAGGCCAAAGGTATAGAGCTGTGTGCCCCAGCTTCTTCCGGGAGGCCTGGGGGTGGAGGGCGGTTACCTCGGTGGCATACAGAGACCTGGAGATCACTTCAGGAGCCATCCAGTAGGGAGTGCCCACCAGGGACTTCCTCTTGGGGACGTCTTTGCTGATCTGAGCACAGAATCCGAAGTCTGACAGTTTCACCTGGGGCAGGGTGAGAGGGAAAGGGGAGTGGCGAGTGAGGAGGGGGCGCTATGCTGGGAGCAGGGCAGTGGGGAGCAGGGCTGTGCCAGGGTGGGGAGGGTCTCACCCTGCCGTCGAGGGTCAGCAGGATGGAGTCGCTCTTGATGTCCCGGTGAATGACGCCCTGGGCGTGCAGGTAGGCCAGGGCCTGCAGCACGGCCTCGCACACGGTGGCGATCTGCTCCTCGTTCAGCCTGGACGGGGAAGGCAGGGCCCCGTCCGGAGAGAACATCAGGGCCCCAGCTTCGGCCGGGCTGCGGGACAGACGGGCCGGGAGCCCCGGTCCCAGGCCCCTCCGCCCCTGGGCCTGGTGTGTGGGAGCCCGGGTAGGACAGAGCCCCGGCAGAAATGGGCCTGGGCTAGGCTAGACCCCGCCTGCCCTCCCGCTCCCTGAGCCCTTGGGTCTATGAATCCAGACAGACAGGTGAGCTCAGGACCCCAACTCCACTGGGTCCGAGGCTGCCCGGAGCCCTCCAGGGGCAGCCAGCACGCGGGACCCGGCCCTCCAGCCGCCCACCTGACTTGGGAGATGATGTCCGTGAGGGCGCCGCCCTGCAGGAACTCCATGAGCACCCACAGCTCCTCGCCCACCAGGTAGCTCTTGTACATCTCCACCACGTTGAGGTGCTGGTAGTCCCGCATGATCACCACCTGGGGGCGGGCGGGCGGGGGCGCCTGAGTGCCCGGAGGACCCACCGCCCTGCTTCCCCCTCATTCGCGGCCCGTCCCCATGCCCGCCGCCCCGCCCCCCCCCCCCCCCCCACCTCATTGAAGAGCAGCTCCCGGCGCTGCTGCTTCCGGAGGTCCATCATCTTGACGGCCACCTGGCGGCCGGAGTGCTTCTCCCGGGCCAGGCAGACGATGCCGGTGGAGCCCTCGCCGATCTTCACGTAGCTGTCCAGCAGCCGCCGGGGGTCGCCCTGGTCCACCACCATCCTGAGCGCGGCCTTGAACTGCTCGTGCGTCACGATGCCCGCGTCCTCGCCGGCCAGGGCGCCCTTGGCCGCCGCGGGGTCCTGGGGCAGGTACAGGTTGCTGGTGCTGATCTGGGCGTGCCGGGTGCGGGGAGAGCCAGCGGGGGAGGGCCGGCCCGGAGGAGGGCCGGCGGCGGGGGCTGTGCGGACGGCCTTCTGGGGGCTGCTGGTGTCGGAGGCGGTCAGGGGGCTGAAGGTCCCTGTGGGCTGGTCGGACGGCAGGGACTGGGCCTTGGCCACCGGGCTTGCGGGGGAGTCTTTCTGCGGGGGCCGGAATGAGGGTTTGGGCTGTGGGGAGGGGGGGAAAAGAAAGACACGGAAAGGGGTTTGGCTGTGGGAATGTTTGGAGCAAACGTCCCAGAGGCAGGGGGGCGGCTGCTGAGACCCCCAGACACGGGCAGGGTTAGGCAGGGCATCACACCACATGGGGGAGGTGCCACAAGCGGAGATTTTCAAAGGGAGCTGAAGCCAAACCACAGTTCTGCTCAGGGAAACTCGCCCCCCCCCCCCCCCCCCCCCCCCCGTGGCTCCCGGCGAGCAGGCCAAACAAGAGCTCTCTGCATCCAATTGGCCTGCTCCTGGGAGGAAAAAAGGCAGAGTCCCCAGGGTGCCCTGTGCTGGGTGTTTCTTCTGGAGAACTGACAGCCAGGCCCCGGGGAGGCCCCTGGGAGGCAGCCCCCAACTGCTGCAGGCTCCCTGGGGAATCCAGGTCAGAGGCAGCGGCTCCCACAGCTCCCCGCCAAGGCCCGCGCAGGCGGAAGCAGCCCACAGAGCCATGTTTCCAAGGGGGGTTCCTGGTTCCAGAGAAATGTGGGGTCAGGAGGGCAGGTCCAGCCAAACCCAATCCGTGGTGCAGGGGTCCCCAGAGGAGCCCCCCACTTGCTCCCACATGTGGAACTCCTGCCTGAGGACCCCCCACCAGGAGGGGAAGGCAGGCTGTCCTGTGGGGAGGGAGGGGAGGTGGCGCGGAGTGGCAGGCTGCGCCCACCCCTGAAAGCCTTCGGGCTCCTGGCCTTTCTGGGTCGGAGCTCTCCTGCCAGCCCAGCAGGAGATGGCCCCGCCTGGGGTTCTCCCCAGGCAGCCGGCGTGTGCAACGTGACAGGATTTTGTGGGTTGTTTTTTAAAAATATATTTGTATTGATTTCAGAGAGGAGGGGAGAGAGAGAGAGAGAAACATCAATAATGAGAGAGGGTCACTGATCGGCTGCCTCCTGCCTACCCTACACTGGGGATCAAGCCCTCATCCTGGGCATGTGCCCTGACCAGGGCTTGAATTGTGACCTCCTGGTTCATAAGCTCAACCACTGAGCCACACCGGCCCACACTCTATCCTCTGAGCCAAGCCGAACAGGTTTGGCTCAGAGGATAGAGTGTCAGTCTGCAGACTGAAGGGCCCCGGGTTTGATTCTTTCTGGTCAAGGACATGTACCTTGGTTGCAAGCACATCCCTAGTGGGGAATGTGCAGGAGGCAGCTGATCGATGTTTCTTTCTCATCGATGTTTCTAACTCTCTATCCCTCTCCCTTATTCTCTGTAAAAAAAAAAAAAATCAATAAAATATAAATTAAAAAAAGTTGGGTGGGGGGGAGGCATGGGGAAGAGGGCCCTCTGTAACCTAGGGGACCTTCAGGCGCTGCAGAAGCTTCTCAGAACGTCTCAGAGCCCATCACTTCTGGTTGCCTAGGTGCCCAGTGGATCCTGTCCTGATTCCTGGAGCTGAATTGGCTTCCAGGAAATCTCAGGTCAGTCCGCTCGGGCTGGGCTGCAGGCCCACCCGGCTCAGCCAGCACCTTTTCAAGCTCTGCAGCACCTGCCCCAGGCTTCTGGGCTTCCGCTCCCACCCCAGTCCTAGGCCTCGTCTAGGGTCAGGGTGTCCCTCCCTGCAGAGTTGAGAGCCCCACCCTGACGGGGCTGGGACAGGAACACGGGGCCGTGGGGCCACACGAAGTCACTCTTCAGCCAAAGTGAGTGACCACGGACCAAGCTGTCTGGGCTGAGTCCCCGAGCCCGAGGCCTGCAGCCACTCTGGGCACACATGGCCTCTGCCGGCCTGGCCTCCTGGCACCAGTGCTGCCGTGGGAGCTGTGGTGAGTGTCCAGAGCCAGCCCTGGCATATGCTGAGGGGCAGAGCGCTGGCTGCTGGCTTGGTAACCCGCCTGAGGTAATTTGTCTAAAGCTGTGGTTTTCACCTTGGGTGACTTGGCCCCCCAAGGGGCATCTGGCACTCTCTGGAAGGATTGGTGGTTGTCCCATGGGTGGGGTGCTGCTCGCGTCTGCTGGGTAGAGACTGGGGATGCCACTAGACATCCTACAGTGCCCAGGACAGCCCCCACGCCAAAGGACCGTCGGGTCCAATGGCAGCAGCGCCACGGAAGCCCTGGCTCAGTGCCGCAGGCCTGGCTCGGGGTTTTCCTCTGGGAACAGGTGCCCACGATGCTGAGAAGGAAGCAAGCACTCGGCTGGATCTGGCGCTGTGGCATCTCCAAGCCCAGGACAACCACCGCCTCCCTCACAGGCCTGCACACCCAGCAGTGGCCCCTGGTAGGCGCTCAGTAAGGTGGCACAGCCCTTGCCCTGCCATGGGTGCTGCTAGGAACCCGGAAACATTCATGTCTGTGCCCAGACACCCCCTCTCCAATCCCTGAAGCCCTCCCGAAGGAGTCCCAAGAGGCCAGCGAGGGATCCCGTTCCTATTCTCACTCCCAAGCGGTGAGCCCTGTGCGAGCAGCTCCCACCGTGGTTTTCGGGGAACATCTCCCCGGGGGGCACAGCCTTCCAGACTCCTCAGCTCGCAGACACGGGCCTTGCATGGACAGGCACATCAAGCCACAACTCCTCCGTTTGCCCCCAGACACCCGCCCCACAGGGGAGGCCAGCCCACTGACCCCGTCCCAGTGCAGGGCCGGAGGGCACAAGCCCAGCGCCTTCCCTGGGTGCCTGGGGCTGGTGCTGACTCAGACAGGCTGAGGGTCCGGGCCACTCTCCACGCTCCCCAGCCACGTTCAGGCTGGACCAGACGGGCGCCATCCCTGAGCGGGAGGACCCGGGCCCGTCCTCCTGGGAGGGGAGCCGCCATCACTGAGCCACCATCACTGAGCCACCCACGTTCCTCAGGTCTGACGTAGGAGCCTCCGGCAGCTGCCTCGGCTCTCTTCTGCCTGCCCCTCGGGGAGGAGCTGGAGAGCGGTGGCTGCCAAGACAGCGAAGCCCCGGAGCCAGGCCTCCGTGCCTGCCGTCCCCGAGCACTCCCACACCTGGCTGCCTCACCCTCTCTGACTCAGGCTTCCGGCTGACAGAGTGGGGAAGGATGTCACCACAGACAGGAGGCCATGGCCATGTGAGAAGCACATTGTTCTCTGCCTGCCCAGAAATGTCACCGAGGGCCCCCTGCACCGTCTCCTTTCTTTCTTTAAGAAAAACGCGTGCCTTGTAGGCCGTCACACCGGCCCACGGCAGGCCTCCTGCTACCGCCGGACGCAGGAGGATTCAATCCTCTGGCTTTTCAAACGGCACACAAACTTGAGGATAAGTCATTCCAGAAATGTTAGTGACAAAACCACCCCCGCTAAAGAAAGAGCAGGGGGCCGAGCCGTCACCGGAGGAGGAGTGCAGGAGCCCCCGCGGAGCCTCTGAGGTGGGGCCGGTGAGGGGTGGAGGCAGAAAGGTGGTCTGAGAAGAGGGAGGCAGGAGAGCCCTCCTCCCGGGGGCTGGAGCCTGTCTCTGCTGGGGCCTGGGTGGGGGCTGCTGGGCACTGGGCTCAGGGGAAGTCTGGGCTTTTGTGGTTAAAAATACTGCTTTTCTTCTCCCCCTGCCAGCTTGACTCAGTGGCTGAGCATCGACCTGTGAACCATAGTCCGATTCCAGGGCACATGTCCTGGATCCCCAGTAGGGGGTGTGCAGGAGGCAGCCAATCAGAGATTTTCTCTCATCATTAATCTCTCCCTCCCTCCCTCCCTCCCTCTCTGAAATCAATTTTAAAAATAGGTTTTTATTTATTTATTTATTTATTTTTAAAAATATATTTTATTGATTTTGTACAGAGAGGAAGGGAGAGAGATAGAGAGCTGGAAACATCGATGAGAGTCATCGATCAGCTGCCTCTTGCACACCCCCTACTGGGGATGTGCCTGCAACCAAGGTACATGCCCTTGACCGGAATCGAACCCGGGACCTTTCAGTCCCCAAGCCAACGCTCTATCCATTGAGCCAAACCGGTTTCGGCTAAAAATATGTTTTTAAATGCTGCTCTTTCGGGGGGTATCTGCCAACCACCCCCAGGGGGCAGGCGTGTACGCTGGGTGCACACAGCTCCTCTGAAGCCCCCAGGAAAACGCCCTGGCTCAGCCTGACTCTCACATGCTAAGCCTTTGGAGGATGAGGACTCAGCTAATTCAGGGTAGGATCCTCAGTTGAGGCTGAGCTGGTTTCTTGATTATTTTGTTTCCCCAACTCAACCCCGTAATGGGGAAGGCCAGGCAGGGCCTGTGCACTTGACATGCATTCCCCAGGGGACGCCTGCCCGCCCCCTCTTCCCCCCAACCCCCCGCCTCGCGGAGAGTGCCCGGAGGGCTGCCCACTGACCTACCTTGCTCGGTAGAGCGGGGCCCGGCCGGCTGCCGCTCGGCGGGGCGGTGGCGGGAGTGGACAGGAACATGCTCCGGAACAGCCTGTGCTTCAGGCTGCTCTCCTGAGTCTTGGGGCTGGGGCTGCCCTCCCCGCCCGGCCTGCCCACCAGGCAGGACTGCGGCCGGGCCTCCTCGGAGCCGTGCCTGACCGCTTTGGCCCCGCGCCTCCCCGCGGCTGCAGGGGGCGAGGTGCCGGGCGGGGAGCTCTGCAGGCAGGCGCCCAGCTGCAGGCAGCGCTGCGTGGCGCCCTGGAACTCGGCGGGGCCCAGGGACTGTGCCTTGGTGGCCAGCCCGTTGGGCGGGACCCGGGGGCTCTGCGGTTCCGGCCACGGCACCTGCCGGCGGCCGGCCGGGGCACCCCCGTTGCAGCTGAGGTAGAGGTCGGTGCGCTCAGACTGGGGGCTCTGCAGGTACATGTCCGGGTCGGCGGGCCAGGGCTCCTCCCCCAGCAGCCCCAGCGACTGCGCCCGCCGCCGGTTGGTGGGGCTGTGCCCGCGAAGGGTGTTGGAGCTGATGACCGACAGCTTCTGGATGTCGTTGAGCAGCCCCGAGATGTACCCGTCCGTGGGCACGGAGCTGCCCCGCACCACAGTCTGTGGGAGAGAGGAGGGCGTGGGTGAGCGGCCGGTCCACGGCAGGGAGGGCAGCCTGGCCAGCCCGGGGCCGCCCCCGGGGCCTTGAGGAGGGACATCTGAGGACCTTGCCTGTGTGTCATCCCCCATTCCTTACATGTTCAGCCATTTTCTGGGGCCTGTGGCAGGTCAGGCCTGGGCTGGTGCAGAGATACAGGGAAAAGGCCCATTCTCATGGGGCTCTCAGCCTAGCAGGGCACACAGGTGCGTAACCACAGGGTTACAATCCAGAACCCCAAATGGTGTGGGCAGCTGAGCTTGGGGAGCCGAGGGGAACCATGGGGACGGGGCCACCCGGGGCCCCCTACCATTCTCCGGCTCTGCCCACGGCTTTCTGGGAAAGGTGCAGAGCTCTCTGAGGAGGCAGGGGCCAGGCCAGGGCCCTCCTCCGCGCACACTGGCTGTGTGGCCTCTAAGTCCTGACCCCCAGCCCCTCCCAGGTTCTTGGATCTACCCTTCGTGACCCACACAGCGAAATCCCCCAGCCCCACAGGGGCTGCAGGTCCAAATGTTCCCGGGGCACGCTGAATACGGAACGGTTCTTTGTTGTTACCTGAAATTCCATCGTTATTGGGCAGCTGTTTTGTTTGCTATGTTTGGCAGCCCCGCCACCCTTTGGAGGGCTCCCCGGGCTGCTGCTCCCCGGGTTACCCAGGGAGACCCGGGCTGAGGAGCCGGGAATGAAAACAGCGGCTCATTGATGGCCGTAATGAGGAGATTCCTCCAGGTGCCTCTGTGGTTTGGCCGAGACCAGGGCACCCGTGGAGCGGGAGGGGCTGCGCGGGGCCCGCCGCCCGCCGCCCGCCGCCCGCCGCCCGCCGCCCGCCTCACCTTCATGGGCTGGAGCTGCACCCGCGTGATGCGCGACGGGTCCACCACGGGCTTGGGGCGCCGGAGCGTGTCCAGGATGTTCTGCCATTGAGGGGGGAGGCCCACAAACTTGCCTTCTTTAGGGTCGAAGGAGGTGTGGACGCGGTGCTGGAAGTTCTGTGGGGCTGAGATCTCAGGGCGTTTCTTCTTTTTCTTGCGGAACATGGTGCCTGCGTGGGAGGGGCGGGCTGAGCTCCTGCGGGGCCGCCGGAGCCTGGGCCCGGGGGGCAGGGGTGGCTGCGGGGGGGTGGGGTGAGGGGGGCAGGCTCTGGGCTCTCTCCCCCGCCAGCACCTCTCCCTGTCTGGGCCCAGGGCTTCCCCTCATCCCTCACCTCCACCTCCTCAGGAAAGTGGCCAGCCCCCAGCAGAGGGTCCCACCGACAACAAAAGCACCGTATTGAAGGCAACACAGACTAAAGAAAGCAGGTGTCTGGCTTCCTGTCTGCACGCCCCTTGTGGAGCAGGCAGACTCCGGGGGTGTGTTCTTATAAAACCCCAAGCCCAGTACCGTTATCGTCCACTGTCCAAGAACTAAAAAGGGGCGAAGGGAGGAAAGCCGGCCAATCATTCTATGAAGTAAGCATGACCTTGACTCTCTCACCAGACAAGATTGGTACAAGAAAAGGAAAATTTAAACCTACCTCACCCATGAACATAAATGTGAAAATCCTAAACAAAACCAGCAAGTGGGATCCAATAATTTGTGACAGTTTGCTTGTTTTTTGTCTTCTCACCGTCAACTAGGGTTGGTCCCATGATGGGTCAATGACAGAAAACCTGTTCATGTGTTTATACACAGCGGTCATAAAAGCCAGCCCTCCGAGTCACAGGGAGCCTCCTGTTACCGGGCGCTCCACCCTGATTCTGGAAAGCCCTGAGGGGGGCTGTCTCAGGGGAGAGCCTGACGGCCCTCATGTGCTGTGAATCAGGAGCCCACAGAAGGCGCCTGTGTCTGCAGCAGCTCACTGCGTGTTTCAAACTTTTCTTTCTTGTGGTAAAATATACTCAGTGGGCTCTTAGGTTACCTGGGAAAGTCTTGAAACGTCTAGGTTTCAGGAAGCATGTTAGTTTCCTGAGAGCGTGGGTCACTCATCTAGCCGTAGATCTGGGGTATCTTCGGGTCCTGGGCATTCCTCTTGGCTGCTGCTCTGGACACAGCATTTTCCTGGGCATTTGAGCAGGTGCCAGAGGAGGTCACAGACTGGGAGGCACTTGGCGCTCACTCAGGAAGGCTGCCGGCTCCCGGCGAGCGTTCACTAGGTGTGACACAGTCTGAGTCCCTGTCATGCTCCTTGGATGTCAGCTACTTTTCAGGTTCAAGGGTCCACCAAGCACCCGCTACAGGCAAAGCCCCCTATGCAGGACCCCCAAGGACCAAGGACCTCAGGGTGACACACACCTGTCTTAGTTGAGGGTGAGCCGTAGGGAGCCACCCACTACTCTAAATGATTTCAGCCTCTGGTCTTCATCTATGAAGTGGGGTTAATAAAATATATCTCAAGGGTTTGGGGAGTGTTAAGTGAGCAGATTCCCAGTGAATGGGGGCTGTTCCTGTTTCTGTGTTACTTCTGTGTATTCCTGTCCCTAAGCTCGGGGCCCTACAGGTGTGGGAATGTGAGCAGACACTGGCCTGGGAGCGATGCCAAACCCCGGCCCCAGATTCACCTGTGAGGTGGGGACTTCTGTGACCTCAGAGCCCTCAGCAACTCTCCCCTATGTTGACTCTTGAAGCTTTGCTAAAACCTGATCTCCTCTCTCTCAACCTTTGGCCACAGAAGGGTCTTCGTCCCTCAATCTGTCCTCACAGCATCTGACACAGACCCTCCATCCTGGGCTTATCCTGATGGTTTCACCCTATTCCCCAACTCTGTTAACTCCTCTGGAGAAGCGGGGACACATCCAAGAGTTAACGAAGAGCTGGCTAAGGCCCTGGCTGGAAGCTCAGTTGGTTGGAGCATTGTCCTGATACAACAATGTTGTGGGTTCAATCCCCAGTCAGGGCACATACAAGAATCAACCAATGACAGCATAAATAAGTGGAATAACAGATTGATGTCTCTTTCTCCCTTCACCCCTTCCTCTATCTCTAGAAAGCAACAACAACAACAACAACAACAATAATAATAATAATAAAGAACAAAAAAGCTGGCTAATACTTCCTCCCCCAATAACATCCCTCTCCCCAACTCCCTTGCCCAGCCCAAGGGCCCAGCTTTTGGAGGGGACAGAATCTTTAGCAAATCATCTAAATGACCCTAGGATCCCTGAGGTTACCACAACAACGATTCCAGAACATTCTCCACAGAGGCAGAAAGAAAGGCCTGAGAAAAGGACTCCACTGTTGAACACCCAGTTGGTAGCCAAGCTGGAGAAATGGTCACAGGAAGAAAAGCACTCTCTCATTTGATGTCAGAAGTGTTATCAGGGGGAAAAACCTCAGATACCATTAAAAGTATCAAACACCAGGAATAATCTAATAAACAAAGTGCAAGTTTTCTACATTGAAAAGTATAAAATAATGAAAGATATTAAAGAATGTTCTTAAATTGAAAGACTCAATATTGTAAAGATTATTCCCAATTAACCTACAGATTTTATTTCAATATCAATCAAAATCCCAGTGTATTTCTTTGGTGAAAATTGAGAAATTGATTCTAAAATGTACAGAGAAACATAAAGAACCAGGAATAGCCACGATAATCTTTTTTAAAATGTTTTAATTGATTTTGGACTGGGGAGAGATAGATAGATAAATAGATAGATTAGCATGAGAGAGAATCATCGAGTGTTGACCTATGAACCAGGAAGATTAAACCCACAACCTGGGTATGTGCCTGGTTGGGAATAGAGCCCACCCCCTTTTGATGTGCAGGATGACGCTCCAACCATCCGAGCCACACTGGCCAGAGGCAAGACAATCTTGAACCAAGTTGGAGGATTACGCTACTAGATATCAAGGTTTATTATAAAGCTACATTACTTAATATAGCATGGAACTGGCACAAAGATTGATGACTACACCAGTGGTCTAGAAGAGAGAATCCAGAAATAGACTCAGTCATACAAGGTCACTTAATTTATGACAAAGGTGACACTGCAGTATGGCAGAAACAGATGACCTTTTCCATAAATGTAGAGAAACAATTAGCTATCCCTATGAAAATGAATTCATATCACCCCTCAAAATTTATGGGATCTAAATATGAAAGGTAAAATAATAAAGCTGATGGGAGCAGTGGTGGGGACAGCAGAGGTGGGGACACTCCATGTCCCCTGCCTGGCACCCCTGTGAGTGACTACGTGGGGCCCCTACCAGGTTTTCTTTGTCCAAAGCAGAATTAAAAAAAAAAAATGTTAACAAGAGTCAATTTGAGCCAAACTGTGTATGTGCAAATGCTAGGGAGCAAGATCTGACATGCTCCGGAGAATAACAGTTTTGCAGCTTCTCTTATGCATCTGCAAGTAAGGAGGAAACTTTAGGAGGGTCACATGAAGGTGGTGCTGGGTTACAAGACAGCTACAATGATGTGCCCTCAGGCTTTAAGGGAGGGTCCGAAAGGGGCCTTTTCAAAGAAGCACAGAAACAACGGGCAGGGCTTGCTTAAGGCAAAGATAAGCCTTTCACTAAGGGAGCTATAGGCCTGGCTGCATATGACTCCCACCAGGACCTGCCCAGTTAGGAATTTATAAGCAGATCACCCTGTAAGGTTACTTTCCATAAAACCCCTTTCTTCCACACCAAAGATGAATTCTTAATGTTGAAGGTTAAGAATTGGGCTTTTTTCTAAAGATTTCACCTAGACCCTGGCCAGGTAGCTCAGCTGGTTAGAGTGTCATCCCAATATGCCAAGGTTGTAGGTTCCATTTCCAGTCAGGGCACATACAAGAACCAACCAATGAATGCCTAAATAAGTGGAACAACAAATCGATGTTTCCCTCTCACTCTCTTTTTCTCTCTCTCCTTTTTTCCTCTCTCTCTCTCTCTCTCTCTCTCTCTCTCTCTCTCTCTCTCTCTCTCTCAAATAAATTGATAAAAATAAAAATACAAATACAAATTTCACCAAGATTAACTCGTAGATGTAGTATGTATGCAATGAATAGTTGAAGGAAATACAGCAAAATATTCATCGCTGTTGTGTTTGACTGGTGGGCTACAAGTGATTCTTCCTACCTCATCTTTCTACTCTTCTAAATTTTCCTTAAAGACGATAGACTGCTTTTCTAAAGAAAACACACACACACACACACACACACACACACACACGTGTGTGTGTGTTTTTTAAAAATATATTTGTATTGATTTCAGATAGGAAGGCTGAGGGAGAGAGGGATAGAAACATCAATGATGAGAGAGAATCTTTGATCGGCTGCCTCCTGCACGCCCCCTACTGGGGATCGAGCCTGCAGCCCAGGCATGTGCCCTGACTGGGAATCAGGAATCAAACCAGCAAGCTTTTGGTGCACAGGACAATGCTCAACCAACTGAGCCACACTGGCCAGGGCAAAAGCAAACTGGTTTTTTTGTTTTGTTGTTTTGTTTTTTAAATATATTTTATTGATTTTTTACAGAGAGGAAGGGAGAGGGATAGAAAGTTAGAAACATTGATGAGAGAGTAACATCAATCAGCTGCCTCCTGCACACCCTCTACTGGGGATGTGCCCACAACCTAGGTACATGCCCTTGAACAGAATTGAACCCGGGACCCTTGAGTCCACAGGCAGACGCTCTATCCATTAAGCCAAACCGGTTTCGGCAGCAAGCTGTTTTTAAAGAAAGAAAAGGGCAACCCATGATGACTGAGCTCCAAAGAGACATTCACCCACTCAAGTACCTAACGTTGCCAAGTCATTGGATATGAAACCCTGAGCTACATTCTGCATCCTTCCAGCAACAGAGCCCATGCCATAGGCACCCCCGCCGCCCCGACAGGGGCCTCAAGTTGCCATTTCTTTTCTTTCTTTTTTTTTTTAATCTTTATTGTTGAAAGTATTACACATGTCCCCCTTTTTCTCCCATTGACCTCATATAGCTGCTCCCCCGCCACCCCCCCAGGCCTTCACCATTTATTGTCTGTGTCCATGGGTTATGCATACATATATGCAGATAAGGTCTTTGGTTGATTTCTTCCCACCCAAGCCTTCCCTCTGAGATTTGCCTTTCCTCT